GCTGACACTTATTTCTTAATCTTGACTCTTCTTCTCTCTTCTTCCTTCTTATTTTATCTTCAATCCACTCTCCTTTCTTCTCGACTCTCTTCTTCACATCTTTCCCTGTCGGAGAATGAGACTTGGGGTGAGAAGGAGAAGTCTTAAAACTATCGCTTGAATTTTCAGAAGTGTTTTCAGAAGTAGAAGGGGAAGAGGATTGAGAAGCTGTGTTAGACTGAGAGGCGGTTTTCAAAGAGGTTATTTCTTTTAAAAGTTCATCCTTTTCTTTTTCTAAAATCTGCTTTTCCTTTTCAAAAGAATCTTTTAACTCAGCAAACTTTCTCACCAATGGTGGAATGTAAGCTGGTTTCTCAATCGGTTCAGATGTGGAAGCCTCCTCTCCGTCTTTCTCAGCTTCCTTTTCAGGAGGATAGGTCAAGATTTCTTCAGCAGGGGTCAAAGGGAGTGCTTTGGTTTTGTAGCTCTTGTTTAATTCTGTGTAGTCAAAAGGAACCTCAACACCAGCCTTTGTCTTTCTCTTTTCATCCTCAAGGGCATTCGTTTCTTCAGCTCCAGTGAAGGCCATGAGTTTGGTCAATCCTATTTTCATGTATCTAACATCATAGAGTTGTCTACAATTGACCTTTTTCAGGTTCTGAGGATTGGTCAAACCCAAGCCTTCTTTGGCATTATAGAAACGAGTGTCCTTAGGCTGGTTAAGGAAAATAGTCTGATCTGTTTGGTCCCTTTTGGCTAACAGATCCTCAAGTTCTTTGATTTTAGTATAAAGTGCACCCCTTCTTTCCATTAGCAAGTTATTTACACCAAAAAGCCTAATTCTTTCCTTTTCTGTTGTTCTAAGTTTCTCTGTCAACTCTTTCTCACTCGCACTAAGTCGCTTATTCTCAGTTGTGAGTTTAGTGATTGTTTTCTCTGAATTGATTATCTTTATGTTTGAGCATGTCTGTTTTTCACGCAGTTGATTATATACCTCATACAACCTTTTATAATTCACCTCAAGCTCCTTAAATTTATCATGCATATCTGTTCTAGAGCAGTTATGAATAGATGAATTAGAGGTACTTACTTCATTGTCAGCATTCCTGTTCTCAGCAGACAGGGCAGTCATTTCATCAGCATTGGTTGCAATAGGCAGGTTCTTCTTCTCCTCAGCAGCAGGGGTTGACTTCATCTTTCCTTCCTTCTCAGCATCTTTCCCTTTCTCTTCTTCTTCAACAACTGCCATCAAGGCCATATTCTCTTCTTCATCAGAATCATCCATCCAGTGATCCTTTTCAGCCATGAGGGCACTCTTCTCCTTGTTTTCTTCCATAGCCAGCAACATCTTCTTCTTGTTCAGATACATCTTTTGCTTATAGTATTCAGCATCCTTCCTCCTCTTTGGCATCCTGCAATCCTTCATCAGATGTCCAGTCTTCCCACAATTGAAGCACTTTGGAGCATCCTCAGCATTTCCGTTCTCAGAAGAATCAAAAGATCGTTCTTTTCTTTTGTTGTAGCTGGTAGAGGACTTGCGGAGCTTGTTGTTAGAGGGGTTCTTCTTCTTCTGCATTTGGTTGTTGAACCTGGAGGTAAGAAGGGCTATCTGCTTCTGGAAGTCACGAAGCTCATCATCATCAGAATCTTCCCAGAATCCGATGTCGCTGTCTGCGCTCTCACTCTCTTCTGCAATCATCTTGTCTTTCTTGGAACCAGACTTTGAAGGCTTGTCAAGCATCAGGGCAAGGGTGTCAGCTAGCTTGTCCACGGCTCCCTTCCCTTTATCAGCTGTCACAGAGGCGACCACGAAGTCAGAAAAATCTTCCGCATATTGGTCAAGTGTGTTATACACTGCATGAATATCCATCTCATCCAGATCCTTCGTGTGCCTTATCTGTGAGCTCAGCTTCTTCCAGTCAGCTCCAAGAGAAGATAGAAATCTCACGTTCAGTTCCATATTGGACTTATGTACGCCAATCTTTCTCATCTCATTTATCAGTTGCAGAAACCTCAAGTAAGTGTCTTCCAGTGACTCTCCGAGCTTTGCCTTAAATGAGTCGTATGCTGTAAATGTGCTGGCTTTCTTTGCTTTTACACCTATCTCTGTGCCTTGCATAATCTTAAAAATCTCGTCCCACATCTCCTTTGCTGTGGACATACTATCGATTTGCATGTATATGTCATTTGGAATGGCTTGCAAGAGATAGGTCTTTGCAATAAGATCAGCTCGGATTCTGGCACGGTCTTCATCATCATATTCCTCAACAGCCTTCTGTCTCCACTCAATCTCCACCGGTGGATTATTCCCATTATCTCTCTCAATTGCTATCATCAGCTGTGCAGGTCCATTGGTGATTGAATCGAGAAGACCGGAGGATTGATCCTTACTTTCGAGAAAATTCAAGAATCTGTTCTTCCATACGTTGTACTCCCCTCTTCGAAGAATCGGGGGTCTTGTATCGTTTCCGATTGATAAAGCATCCATCTTAAAATTTGATCGGGCTGATCAGTTGATTGATTTGATTCTGTTCAGTTGTTAGGTAATTCCGGCAGAAGGTATTGTTCAGAAGAGTTGTAAGTGTGAGATCGCGCAAGTGTTGGAAGATCGCTCAACTTTTGAAGGATCGCTCAACTTTTGAAGGATCGCTCAACTTTTTACAAAAGATCGCTCAACCCTCAAAAGATCGCTCAACTTCACAAAAGATTGCTCAACTTTACAAAGATCTCTCAACTTTACAAAAAGATCGCTCAACACTAAATAAAAGATCTCTCAACTTTACAAAAAGATCGCTCAAGTTGCTAAAAGATCGCTCAAGTGTAAGATTGCTCAACTACAAATCTCTCAACTTAAAAAATCTCTCAACCCCAAATCGCTCAGCTTCCAAATCGCGCAAGACGAAATAGGGCAACTTGTTGCGCGAAGTAAGAGATCACGCAGGAGCTATGTTGGGATCGCTCAACCTGTGAAAATAATGGTAAAGTCCAAGTTCGCGCAAGATGTATTGCGTGAAGATGAAATCGCGCAGGATGATATTGCGCTAAGTGCTGAATCGCGCAAACAGGGAGTGTTGCGCTATTTTTCAAATCGCGCAGGAGGCTTAAGATGGCGCAAGCTCAAGTTCGCGCAAGAAGTGTTGCGCTAAGCTTGAGATCGCGCAGGAGACCTGTTGCGCGAATCTGTTCTTCTTTTTCAGGGAGTTGCGCGAAAATGCAGGATCGCTCAAATCTGGCTTAACCTGTACGCCGAGTTTCAGATCGAGATTTTCTCCAGGAATGATCCTAGCAACAGTAGAAACCTTTTCCTTCAAGCCATTTCCTGCAAAAACAACAACAAAAATAGAACAGAAGATCGCTCAAGTGCGAAACTTCAACGATGAAGAATCGCGCAGGAGTGTTTTTCAGCGTTCAATCGATCGATCAGCTCCGGCTCTGATACCAGATGTTAGGTCCCTGTTTTCTAGTCTATAAAATGTATGTATGGAAGATAGATCTGGGAATGAAGCTTTCCATTGATGTGATGAAGAAGTTTACAGAATGATATGAATGTTAGCGTAAAACTTCTATCACAGATTTAGGCACTGCGGCACTAGGAATGTTACGAAAAGCTTAACCTAGCCTTTCCCTTAAGGCATATATATAGCCTGACGGGAAAGGTAGGTTTTACAATCATTTGGGCTCCTTTTCCTAGGAGGCCCATACCTAAAAAGGTATAAAACCTTTATTACAAAATTGCCTTAAAAGGCCTATTCATTATTCTAGCTAACTATAAACTAGCAAAGTAACATTGATCACAATTATAATGAAAATATCTCTAACAGATTCTCTCGAAGCAACGAACACTGGTAGCAAGCTCAACTTCTACTTGAAACTGTGAGGTGGCCTCCCCCCGTGAAGGGGAGGGCAGTACTTGGAAGCATTTGACAAGTACAATGACAACTATACTAAGTATAATCAATGTTTCAATTTCTAAGACCCTCAAATAGAGTGATATCATAATATAATGATAGTTCTTCTTTAACCCTTATTATCTTCACAATAAGTTAATTAATTAATTTGTCGGCACGCGGGCCCTTTTTATATTCCATTGCATTCATCGTTTACACGACACCGCCCGTAGGTCTTATCATCCTTACGAGACTTGTCACCGCTCTCCGAGGCCTCATCGGGCCCTCAGGCCGGAGTCTAACATCCCGCCCCTGGACTCATACCCATCATCCCGTAGGAAGGTAAGGTCCATTCAGGGTCCTATCTTAAGTGTTACCGCTGTCGGGAGCCTCGTAAGGTCTCCGGTTCGGATTCCACCCTAACCCGAGATCACGATGTAAGTCCATGCTATCCAACCCCGCTCTCTAGAGTCGGGAACGGCCATGGTCCTTACTATTTACCAATATCCAACTGGCTATCCTCAAGAACTACCAAAATACACCCGTAGGCCAATCCTACATCTAGGATCAATTTATTATTCACTTTACCTTGGGTATCCCTTAAGGCCTACCCCTAGTATCACTTAAAGTTCATACTTATCTACCTTAGTATCTCTTAAGACTACTTAAGGCTCAACATTTCACAATCCACTCTTTGGATCAATTCTAACATATTCTCATCCCAATACCCCGACTAGTATTTTAATACTAGTCGGATAAATTCTATCAACCAAATTCTCAATTCATAGTCATAAGCACAATTTCCAAACTAATTTTCCATTGAAAAAATATAGTTCATATCAATATACAAAATATGACTTTTAATCACTCATATATTCATATATGAAGTAAAAAGTATATTTCGACATAAGTTTCATAGTTAATTCAATTCTCAAGTCAACATACTCATAACACATAATCATACACAATTTATTCTTAAATTTGTATATTATGCTCCTTTTCATTGTAGGCAATGGTCTTCTCATTTTTAGGCATTATTAATCATTAATAATCCATAAAAGCATATTTAATTACCTTAGGTAATCTCATGAAATTAACTCACTAATTATAAGCAATATAGTCAGTCATCCTCACCTTAAGTGAGTCCTTAGCGCGTTCTACGCTTCCCGATTGAACTTTAGCGAATTCCGGCGAACTTTGACCAACTTCGGCGAACTTTAACCAATTCCGGCGAAACTCCGGCGAAGCTCTAAAAATACCCAATCAAGTTCCTAACAAGATTTTAACATCATAAAACCTTAATTAATACAAATAACCTCTAAAAGGTTATTTTCTGGCGAATCGGTCGTTTTGGCCTTTAAGTCCGTTCTTGGACTCAAAGTTACATTTCAACCCGTCATCCCACACTTATAATATATGGAACAATCCTAAAGGTTCTTCATATGACATATATCTCATATGATGGAAGAAAAATAAAGGAAAAGTTGTGATAAGGTCATTACCTTAATTTTCACACTTTTTCCTAGCTTTTCCCTTCTTTAATCTTCCTCCTTGGAACTCCTTTGCTTGAGCTCGAATTAGCTATGGAGGATGGTGGTTTGCAGAGTTTTCTTCCTCTCTTGGTGTGTCTTGGCCGAACTCAATGAGTGGGAGAGCATGGAGGAAAGTCCTTTTTGTCTTCCTTGGCAAATGGGTGAGGAAATGGGGGTCCACTAGGTGTCAAAGGTGTTCCTCCCATCCTTTCACTTGTCCTCCAGCCCCCCTAGCACTCAATCAGCCCTCTGTGGTTGACAATTTCATGGGGTGGCCCCCACCCATGTGGAAGGTCATCCCAATTTGTCCCAAAGTGTACAATCGGTCCCAAAAGTTGTATTTTTTCGGACAGTTTTAAATATATTTTATTTTATCGGGTCAAATAAAATATATCATGGGTTCTTAATCATTATGAACTTTATAATTAATATACATTCCCCAACTTAAATTTATAAGTCTCTGAAATCCAATTTCGGGCTTTTATCTGTTAAATTACCAATACCGGTATTTAGGCCTCTTTTGACCAATCGGTCAACTCTGGGCTTTTCCATGGCTCAAATGAAATATCCACCACCATATAAACATTATCTAGACCAAGATGAATAAAATATATGGTCTCGGGAATATCGGGCGGTCCCCGCTCCCGGTGTGGGTCCCACGTGCAATTTACTATTCACGCGAAAGAATAAATAGAAAATTCACAACCTCGTAAATTCATTAACCATTCCATAAGGTTCAATACATTATTCACTTAAAGGTAAATACATTTGGGGACGGTGTTACAAGTTCACTCCCCCCTATTTGGGATTTCGTCCCCGAAATCCACGTGTCTAATCGAAAAGAAAAGGGTACTGCTCCCTCATTGAGACCTCGGTCTCCCAGGTTTCTTCTTCGACTCGATCACTCCTCCAAAGGACCTTTACCATAGGAATCTCCTTGTTCCTCAGTTTCTTCACCTGTTGACCCACAATCTTCACCGGTTCCACCGCATATTGTAGGTCTTCACGTATCTCTACCGGTGTTTTCTCAAGAATATGAGATGAGTCTCGTATGTATTTCTTGAGCATTGATACATGAAACACATTGTGTATCTTCTCAAGTTCTGGCGTCAACTTGAGACGGTATGCCACAGCCCCTATCCTTTCAAGGATTTCAAATGGACCAATGTATCGGGGGTTAAGTTTTCCCCTTGATACAAATCAGATGATACCCTTCCGGGGAGATTTTCTTAGGAAGACCTTATCACCGACCTCGAACTCCAATGGCCTTCGTCGTTTGTCGGCATAACTCTTCTGCCGGTCTTGGGCAGCCTTGAGTCTATCCTGAATGACTTTCACCTTAGCCTTGGTGATTTCAACAAGTTCAATCCCTTTGAGCTTGGCCTCGCCAACCTCGTCCCAACACAACGGTGTCCTGCACTTCCTTCCATACAATGCCTTGTATGGAGGCATGCCAATACTTGCCTGATAACTGTTGTTATAGGCAAACTCCACTATGGCTAAATGTTTGTCCCAACTTCCCTGGAACTCCAAATCACATGCCATAAGCATATCTTCTAAAATCTGTATCACCCTTTCGGATTGTCCATCCGTCTGTGGGTGAAAAGCTGTGCTAAACTTCAATATAGTACCCAAAGATGCTTGAAACTTTGGCCAAAATCGGGATGTGAACCGTGGATCCCTATCCGAAACAATGGATATCGGAACTCCATGTAATCTCACAATCTCCTCTGTGTATAGTTTGGCCAATCTTTCAAGAGGATAAATAATGTTGATAGGCAAAAAGTGTGCACTCTTGGTGAGTCTGTCAACCACTACCCATACCGCATCATAGTTGTTCACTGTTCGTGGTAGCCCCACCACGAAATCCATGGTCACATGCTCCCACTTCCATTGCGGAATGGTCAGTGGCTGTAAATGTAACACTGTCCCCAAATGTATTTACCTTTAAGTGAATATTGTATTTTAACCTTATGGAATGGTTGACGAATTTACGATGTTATGAATTTTAATATTTCTTTTGCGTGAATAGTAAATTCGCACGTGGGACCCACACTGGGAGCGGGGCCGCCCGATATTCCCGAGACCGAATATTTTATTCAACTTGGTCGAAATAATTATATAGAGGGGGATAATTTATTTGGTCTAAAGAAATGACATAATGTGGACCGATTGGTCGAAAGTGGTTCAATTACCGGTATCGGTAATTTAACGGATAATAGCCCGAAATTGGATTTCGGAGACCTATAAATTAAAGTTGGGGAATGTATTCTCACTATGAGGGTCATAACGATTGAGAAAACATAATATATTTTATTTGACCCGATAAAATAAAATATATTTAAAACAGTCCGAAAAAATACAACTTTCGGGACCGATTGTACACTTCTGGACAAAAAGGGTTGACCTCCCACATGTGTGGGGGCCAACCCACGAATTTGGTCACCCAAATGTGATTTTTGGCCGGCTGAGATGATACATGAACATGGGAGAGGTGTGTGATGTGAGTGGAAAGGAATCAAACAAAAAAAGGGTGGACCTCTCTCCCTACACCACCCATCCTATTGAGACAAAGGAAATACCCACTCCTTCCTCCCTCACTCTCGGCCAAACCACACCCAGCAAAACCCAGGAACTCCCCAACCTCTTTCCTCCATTGTTGAAGAAGGCTCAACAAGGAAGAACCTCAAGAAAAGGAATCAAGGTGCTAAAAGTGTGAAAATCAAGGTAATAACCTTATCATAACTTTTCTCTATCTTTTCTTCCATCATATGAGATATATATCATATGGAGAACCCTTGAGGTTGTTCCACATGATAAGAGTGTGGAATGATGGGTTGGAAAGTGGTTCTAAGTCCAAGAACGGATTTAGAAGTCAAAACGACCGGTTTACCGGAAAATAACCTTTTAGAGGTTATTTGTATTGATTAAGGTTTTATGATGTTAAAACCTTGTTAGGAACTTGATTAAGGTATTTTTGAGCTTCTCCGGAGTTTCGCCGGAGTTGGTCAAAGTTCGCCGGAGTTGGTCAAAGTTTGCCGGAATTGGTCAAAGTCCAATCGGGAAGCGTAGAACGCGCTTAAGCTCACTTAAGGTGAGGATGACCGACTATATTGCTTATAATCTTTGGGTTAATTTCATAAGATTTCCTAAATGAATATATAATGTGATTTGCATGGATTATTAATGGTTAATAATGCCTAAATGAAATTACTATTAATTATAAGTATAGTTTGCATAATATACAAATTTATTGAATAAATTGTGTATGTGTAAATGTTATGATTATGATGGCGTGATAGTAGTATCAACCATGAACCCATTGTGATAAGTATACTTTTATTTCATGAGAAGAAGCCATGAAGGAATAAAAGTGATATTTTGATATTGAGGCCAAATTACATATTGAATGAAGAATTACATTGAAATGAATAAATAACTAGTATTGAAATATTAGTTGGAATTGTAATTGAATAATGGATGAATGGATCCTAAGAAATTGAATTGTAAAGAATCGGTGATCATTGAGCTGGGCTCTGGACCGATGTAGATAACGGTGATTATTGAGCTGGGCTCTAGACCGTAGTAGTTATCGGTGATTATTGAGCTGGGCTCTAGACCGATGTAGATAACGGTGATTATTGAGCTGGGCTCTAGACCGTAGTAGTTATCGAAGATTATTGAGCTGGGCTCTAGACCGATGTAGATGACGGTGATTATTGAGCTGGGCTCTAGACCGTAGTAGGTCACGGTGATTATTGAGCTGGGCTCTAGACCGTGGTAGGAAATGATGAATTGAAACTAAACGAATAAAGTTAACCATGATACAATAACACCCTAGATTGAGGGTCTTGGAAATTGAAACTTTGATTATATTTAGTATAGTTGTCATTGTACTTGTCAAATGCTTCCAAGTACTGACCTCCCCTTCACGGGGGAGGCCACCTCACAGTTTCAGGTAGAACTTGAAGGTTGCTACCACCGCCCGTTGCTTCGGGAAGATCAAAGGAGGGAGACGTGGTTCGTGCTTCTTCCGTTCCTGTTTTGAAAATATTTTGAACAATGCTCATGGATACTATTTTTAAATATTTGTTTGGGGGCTTGTATGCCCATGATTGCCAAAGTGTGGCATAAACACTTATATTAAATGTTTCCGCTGCTTGAATGAATATTTTACATTATGTTTGTTTATGGATGTACTACGTGTGAATGATATTCCAGACGCCTTGTATAGTATGGATGTGTTGGACTGCGGTTGACCATTCGTACTGTACGGCGGATTGTTGACGTGTCCGGGTAGGTCCGGGGCGTGACAATTTAATTGGTATCAGAGCCAGGTTCCGTAAACTTCATAATGAAGCTTCGAAATCTCTTTTTGAAAACAAATTTGAAAACCATGAGCATAAAAGTTTCGTAATTATAGAACTTTTGGTACTTGAGTTGCAAAGTCTCTAATCGTTAAGATGGTACCCTTAACAATTGGTATGGCGGCGATTTGAGCCAAAGGATGTCTTTAAGTACCTATCCGTCATTTGACATTGATACGAGTCTAATGACTCATTCTAATTCCTTTCAGAAATGGAACCAGTTGGAAGGATCACTAGAAGGAACCCGACGGGCCGTGTGCCGGGTGGGTCCGAGCGTGGTAGTCGGGGGTCCTCTAGGGGATCAAGAGGAAGGGGCCGTGGAGGCCAACGACAAACCGTGAGCGATGGCCACGTCGACACGGAAAGTGAGACCTATTGGTCTTATGAGGATTCAACCTACGGCCGGAAACGGAGCCGGTTGAGACCCCTTATGAAGGGGATGACGATGACGTAAGCGACGAGGAGGAAAATGGCTCCTTGGCTAGGATTGAAGCGTTGCTCCAACAATACCATCGGGAGCGCGAGGAAAGGAGAGAACGCCGAAGGCGCCGTGCGGGGCAACCTTCGGGTGGGGCTCCAAGAGGAAGGAGCTATTGTGATTCAAGAACCCACGTGGAAGCACATGGGAGTCGAGGTGATGGAGGTCCAACCATAAGGATCTCCAAATACATCAAAGAGGCGAGGGACTTGGGGTGCAAACCGTTCGATGGAACGGGGGACATCTCGGTGG